TTCAGCCTCCTTGTCGTAACAGCATTGGGAGCCACAAATGACGTAGTTATAATAAAGCATAGAGAGTTCTAATGGCGGCTTACATGCATATGATGGTTCTGTCCTCTAATAAGAAATTATACCGAGCGTGGATGTCATGGAACGTATCCATACAGCAGTTGAATAAAATCAACAGCTTAACATTTTCTTTTTCTTCTTCTTTCTCTTCTTCCTCTTTCTCTTCTTCTCCTTCTTCTCCTTCTTCTTCTTCTTCTTCTCCTTCTTCCTCTTCTTCAAGATTGTTCTCGTTTGAGTCAGCGGCAGACCGGCTTCTGCGTGCCGAACATCATCGCTGGTCTTTCAGGTTTGCAAACCTGGAGTAATAGCGCTTTTCACTCTAAAATGCTGTCAAATGTTTCCCGACCATTGCCAGGTCATCGGTTGCCTAGAGCTCTTACACTGTTGGTTCGTTCAAGGGTTCTTCAGCCGCGAGAGTAAACAACGTACTTGTAGTTCTGATGGCGGTTCGTGAGTGAACCTGCGAAAAGGTCGTCTAAGATGTTGTTCCAAGAGGTCGGAACCGAATACGTCTAAAGTTTTTGATAAATCGGCCTTTCAACGTCAACTCACGCATTACAGCCTCGTTATCCAAACACTATCGCTTTGGTGAGGGCTTTCGTTGCTAACTGACAATTAAATAGAATACGTTCTCTTAGAATACGTTCTCTCCACCATGTTTCGCGTGTCGCTGTTTGAATACGTTCGTTTCTGTTCTCTCCTAACGACACAGATGACGTATTAGCTTTAGAAGCATTTTTTGCATTACATTCTCATCATCTGTAATCAACGGAAATATTATAACTAGCTATCGGGCGTCGATTGACGAAAACGATTATGAATTTTTAAACAGCAATAATTCGACTGCTTTTGTTACTCGTATCCGTATGTTTATAGCCAAAGTACGTGACTAATTATGTGACATCATCATTTTAATTCAGAACGGTAATTGATTAGAGAATATCCACCCGGTGGGACTTGACGCACTGTTCAATTCAATTCAGACTTTACTGTCTAAAGGAGTTAAATGAGCTTAGGGGGGTTAGTCCACGACGGTGATATGAGGTTTAGGACTGTAGTGAATGAGATTGAGGATTATCAGCCATCAGACTTGTGCTGCCATGGTCACGCTCTGAGCGCAAGTCGAAGCTTCTACAATATTCTCCATTCTTCACTTTCTGCCTCCACCTCTGGCCATACAATTTGACTATGGCATCGACATGATGAGGAGCCTGTCTTCAATTGGTGTCGTTCAGTGCAGAATCCAAGTCGTTAATCGAGTTCGTTTTTGGACTCGTGTGCTCTTAATGTATTCTCAGCTAAGCTCCGTCGTTTGGTTTGAGATTTGTATCTTGCAAAACAGATAGACAAACCAATTCCCGAAGTTTCAGAACAAAAAATAAAAGTTTCTAATGGGTGAGATGTGATTTCACGTTTTTCCTTTCGATCGCGTATGGCAGTCTTCCATCGTAGAACTTATGGTGCAGAGCTAATTTTCGCCACTGGCTTTTCACTCAGAAGTGCAGTGTTGCATTTTTCAGGACTCATGTATTTCCCTGGGACAAACGAAAGACGAGTGGTCCATCCAGAGCTCGAATGTTTAGTCTTTCGACTGCGAGTGCCGCGTTCAACCGCGTGAGGTATTTGGCCATTGCCAACGTTATTAAGATAGACCAATTGATGTAGATCGGTGATACACTACGTCCTTAGGACTGTTACAGCGCCATGAGACCATCAAGGAATTGAACTCACCGAAGATTCTCTGATCATCTGAGCAAAACGTGAACAGACGGAGAATCAGAACAAATCTCTACAAGACAGAGGAGGAGTGAAAACATTGAAAACTCAAGATGTTGCATGGCCACCGATCTTGTTTGCATTCAAATATGTATTGTTCAGTATCGGATGCATTACCTCTTTCTGGCTTAAGCATCGTATCCAGTTTCGTCGCCAGACGACACACGAAAGACGAAAATTAAAATATTAATTATATCGGCTGACGCTGATACCAAATGCGTGTTGGCCGAGATATGAGTAGAAGATGGATGACAGATGGAGAGAGCATAAAAACGGCAAGACGAGAAGCTAGAAAAAATCTTTTCGTAGCAAATTTATTTTTCCCTCACAGAGACAACAGAATAATAACAACTGTGGATACCGTCTGAAATCAAAACGGCGTCCGGTCAGGTCGGATTCAAGTCGTGGCTTCTGCTGCCAAGATTGGTGTAAGAAAGCGCGACCGGCACGAATGGTTCCCCGATATAACTACGCGATGAAATTTGATCTTGGAAAAATTATGCTTTACGTACTCCAGCATTACAGTATACTTTGACGTTTAAGTGATAGCATATGAAGACCTCCAGCTTCTGAAACGTTGTTCTATGATGGGGGCGAAGTGGCTCTAACGAACAAAATAATGCTAGATGCATTTGGCATTACGGATGCCCAAATACGATGGAACCGTAGGCAGCTCAAAGAGAATTTATAGACAATTCAAATCAAGGGTCATATGCAATTTTCCCTAAAATCTGGTCTTTAAGAATTTATGCGTTGTAAAAGGAAGGACTGTTGAGGAATCACCTTCACTCCGCTACGGTATCAGTCGCTGACTCTCCATGAGGGACTCTGTTACTTGAAGCTTGTTTGCTAATTGACTGATAGTAGCTTTCAACTTCGTATCCCATGGGATGAAATGAGCAAAAGTTTTTAGAAATTGAAATTTTGTGGTCTCAGTTTAAAGTTAAAATCCCCATCAATGATATTTTTACTATAAACAGTGACACGTGGAAAAAGCAATTTAAGTTTGTTTGGTAATTGGAAATATTTTGCCTTTTTAGGATTCTCAATGCTTGTATCATTGGAAAAGGCGATATGGTTTTCATATAATCATAACTTCAATCTGTTCTTAATATTTGCAGCAATGTCTCTGCCTAGAAGTTTTGTTTTGACCACCGTTCAGGGACCGGAACTATGTTTTTCCCTGTCCATTTTATGACTTCAGTCCTCCGATACGACTGGGTCTTTTGTTGTCTTTTTTTTTAAATTCAGAGTCTCTAACTTCTGTCAGAAAGCTTCACAAATGTAGGAAAATTTTCGCTGCACTTTTACTGGCAATAAATATGAATCGAAAGTATGAAAATCGAACTGCAAGCCTGGTTTGCACCCGGAATGTCTCTCTCGTTGGCATATAATGAGGTCTCTGAGGAAGCAAGAAAACCCCTAACCTCATGATTGTAGCTGCGTCAATAACCGCCCTTCATGCGCATGTATATCTCTGGGGTCTCCCTGATTGGTTAGGAGTAAATTTTGAAAATAATAAAAGGATTTTTTAGTGTATCGTAATTATGATAATTATTCCGTACGGAACGCGGTAGCTTCCATGAGCCGGCTTGGAATTTCCAAACGTTAGGTTTTTGCTATGATTATTAATTAAAATATCTCACTGTTTAGAGTGAGAATGGATCGGTGTGTCAGAAAGGGTCATGGTTAAGCAGGGGAAAAAATAAATTATTCATAAAGATTAATTGGAAGTCAAGAAAGAATCGAAATTTCCGTCTTTCAAGGAAATGCTTGTCACTTTTTTCCGCTCGATTTAAGAATTAACGTTGTTTTCAAATTGAAGCAGCATCATTGACGACGTCAATTAGGTAGCAGCAGATGTGGAATGCCTTTGAAGGAGATAAGTGGAAACGGAATGTCTTGCCAAGGCATTCACATCGTGTTGTTCTGAGGGCTGATAATCACAGTGAGGAAAATTTATTGCACAAGGATCCAAAATAGAAGATCACTACCCGTATGAAAAGAGAATGCAAAAATGGTTCAAAATTGGGATGAAACGTAACCCCGGACCTTTAAGTATCAACACCCCTTGTATATACGTAGTCTGTTAAATTCCTAAGTTGAAGAACTATTCAGGAGCCATCTGTTTAGTAGTAGATTACATTTGTCGATGGCGATTAAACCGACGAAGCAGTGGAGCATATTTTGTTTGACACGTTTTTTTGTGTATGCTTGCATTCATGCATTAGAGATATTTTTCTGGCA